GAATAATTGGTTATTAACATGTCTAGAAGATGCAAGCAAAAAAGTCATAAAGTTATTAACCCAAAAGCTTGAACCCCAAGACCTCTATATAATTGAAAATAGTATACGGTTTAACTCTCGTGAGATTTCAACTTCAACTATAATCAAAAAAATGAAACATGATATATTCAAAAATGGTAATTATAATATTGTTAATGGTAAATTAATACTATACGAGGATATAAATATGAGCAAGTGACACCACTTTGTGAATGAGATTAATTGAACGAAAAAACATCATTTGAATTAGTCGATGCGGATTTTTATTTTAAGAATCTGAGATTAAAATATAAGGGACGAGCCGAGAGAAAGGGGAACCCCAGTGTTATAACAATGATCAATCAGTTACAGCAAGAGAATAAAAGGGTACCAAGTGGATGTGTTAATACTATTGTTAAATATTTACCAGGTTCACGAGCAGTTGGCGAGAGAATGATGCTATCAGATGAGTATGATCCCGAAAAGAATAAAATCGACACTATATATTATATCAAAAAATTCAATTTATTTATCAGGTCATATCTAAATATTGAGGAAAAAGAAGCGTGGGGCCTCGTTAATAGATGGTATAATAAAGTTGTTAAATCTCCACAGATTTAGCGAATACAGGATACCAATAACAAAGAAAGTGATTCTACTGATGAGTCATCAAGAGAAACTAATAAACAATACAAACGAACAAAGATCAAATATGATAGTATAGAAACTACTTCTAATCATAGAATAACTGATTTTTTTATTCAAAGATAATTTATTTATTTTTTAATAAATAACTAATTTTATACAAGTCTATTGTAAAGATCAAGTCTTCTCTTTTCTGAATAATTTTGAAAACTACTATACAACTGTTTTCGTATAATATATATATCAGATCCTGATATTTCTGAAAAAGCTTCTAGAATAAATTGAATTTTTAATTTTCTTATTATGATTAACCTTCTTACCAGATCGAAATCAAACTTTATATTCTTTTTTTTACTTTTTTTAATTAAATGTTTAAAAATTGATAAAGACTTTGCATAGTCCAAAAACTTTCTAATTAAATCAAAGTTAAAATCATCGGATTGTATCCCATCAAATCCATTATCATTAAAAACTGAAACGATATCCCTCGGTAATATCTTCATAAATATTTTTCTAGCAAATTTACTGTAGACCAGTTTCCCATCATCATCTTTGATCACTTTAGCGAAAGATTTTAGTAATAACTTCCCACGTCTGTCAAAACAAGAAGATGTGTAAGTTTCAAATAAGTTTGTACTTGAAAAAAATATCAAAGTAATATTAACATCATTTTTAAACCCTTCTTCTTCTATTTTATCAAAATTTATTCTTCGTATTATATCACTATGAATACCAATCGTGATTTCTGCGTATAGACTAAATCTCAATTCATCCTTCCGAGGTTGTGGGATGAGCCTTAAGATTATTTTATCATCATTATGATTAATAATTATATTCGCCAACCACTTGACCATTTTATATTGATAAGAACTAATATCATATTCTAACATTTGGGTGGTATACTCAAAAAAATATTTATATTCATCACCTATGATAAATTCAACAAGTGATATAATAATCAACGGTTCGATGGTCATCAGGATGAATTTTTTAATTCTTTTAATATAATATCTTTATCATCATTGTTTGTATTATAAGTTAATTTAAGATAGGCGAGAAAATACCACTCCCTATATTTTTTTCTCAATGGCTCTCTTGCAAAAATAATATTCTTTAAAATGGTATTATATCTTAGATGAGAAGAATAAGTGTCTCTAGACAATAAAATCATCATCGATAATATTTTTTAAAATCTCAGATGGAGAGAAAAGATAATCCATTTGAGTTAACAAATAGAATATGGCAAGTCGTATTAAATAAATAATTGTATAAAACCTGTACTACATAACTTTATTATAAAACCAAGGTTGACAATAATTTGGCATCAGTAATTTTTTTAAATAAAATTAAAGTAATAACAACATGGATACTAATTATTCTGATTACATCACACCAACAGGTTATGATTACTACGGTATGGAAACACAATCGGAGAAGTCTAAATATGTTTATTATATAAACGTACGTACCAGAGATAATGTAGCAAGCTTTGCAAAGAATAAGACTATTTATGAGCACTTTGAAGGGTATGACTCTGAGGAACAACAGGAGTTGCGTGGTAAAGAGATCAAACGAATGATAACCTATTATGATAGTCTCTCTGAAGACTTAATTAAAAAGAACTCTGTTGTGCATATTTATATTGTTCTACGACAAGAAAGAAAATACTGTGGCATGCGTTCCTTTGCTGAGATCTGTAAACCAGATTCCAGTAAGAGATTCGGGTTCACACGAGATGTTGAAGTCATAGCATCCAATGAAACTGGGGAAGAGGATATGAATAGTAATAATAAACCAAGTGATATCTTACCGATGGCATTGCTTACTCTCTCGGATACCCTCGAATTCATCAAAACCAATCCTCTTTTAGAAAGATATGGGGAAAACAAATGTTACTGGGTACATATCAAGCATCCAATGTTAGCCATATATTTTACCAGGGAGATTAATTACATGGACTTTTTTGGTTGTAACAGCAAGAATGGTGGAGAATTAAAATACACTAATACTATAGAAAACATACATGCTCAACTCAAAAAACATGATAGTGTGATCAAAGGTGATATTGATTTTTATGAGCAGAAAAACGATATCGACGAAGCCACATTGGCATTTATCAAGAAACGTTATGCATTTGTACCTGATCTAGTATGGCTCAGTAATCATAAAAAAACAAAAAAATATACCAAAAAATCATTGGTCGGGACCAATATCAGCACCCTTGTTGGTAATCAACCATCTAAACATACCAGGGAAATTGTAAATATTGAAAATGAAAGAGAGGTCCCTCAGAATAACCAAACAAAAAAACCAAGAAGAAAATAATAATATTCATATATTTGCTTTTAACATGATTTATTATTAATAAAGGTTTAAATAAAAATATCAATAGTTTATTATTATATTGTTAATAAATTTTCAATAAACATAATTCAAATAA